CACATCCTTAGGAATGCGGACATGACTGAGCATATAGGCAGTCTCCAAAATTGGCGGGAAATACCAGTGATGTCATAAGCGCGTCTCTAAGAATGTGGGCGGGGCAAAAAGCTCATCCAGAAGTCTGTGGTGTCTCCCTTAAGTTAAACAAAAGCGGCCGTGAGCTGTGTTGCTTTTGGAGACTCTGACTCTGCTATTGCATCCTGCTCTGCTGTGTCTGTCCTGGCGCAGCGCAAGCCTGGCAGGGCTGCCTGTGTGTGTGTGTGTGTGTGTGTGTGTGTGTGTGTGTGTGTGCACGCTCCTCCGAGAGAGACAGAGAAAAAGGGACGGCTTCAGTCAGAGTTTTATACTTCACAGTGTCAAGCATTATAATGAATTGCACATGAGGGACGCCACCACTAGCTAATTCTGTCTGCCGATCGGAGGCTCCCCCTAACGGTATAGGTCAATTTGAGCTGGCCAATCAGTCGGCAGTGGGTGTGTTGGACCAGTGCAGCCTGAAGCAGACCGCCTTGGTCTGGGCTGAATAAACGACCGGTTGCACGCGTAAAAAATCCAGGCTATGCAGATGTGAACCCTCAACATATCTAGGCATAGTGGAGCTGGCGCTAGTGTGGAAGCCCTATGAGTATCTCAGGGTGTTGTTTACAAGCCAGGGTGAGATGGAGCATGAGATCGACGGGTGGAACGGTGCTGCGTCTGACTCTGCAGTGATGCGGGCGTCGTACCGGTCGGTCGTGGTGAAGAGAGAGCTGAACTGGAACACAATGCTCTCGATTTATTGGTCAGTCTACTTTCCAACCTTCATCTATCTTCATCTACTACAAGCTTTGGGCAGTGACCAGAAGAACGAGATCGTGGATAAAAGTGGACAAAATGAGTTTTCTCCGCAGGGTGTCTGGGCTTTCCCTTAGAGATAGGGTGAGAAGCTCGGTCCGGGAGGGGCTCGGAATAGATTTGCTTCTCCTCCACATCAAGAGGAGCCAGGTGAGGCGGCTCGGGCATTCAATTCAATTCAATTCAATTCAATTAAATTCAATTCAATTCAATTCAAGTTTATTTATAAAGCGCCAAATGATGACGAGTCGTCTCAAGGCACTTCCCATAGTAAACATTCCAATACAGGTCAGGTCATTAAGCCAGTCAGTAACAAGTTTCCTGTATAAGGAACCCAGCAGGTTGCATCGAGTCACTGACTAGTGTCAGAGTCTTTACAGCAATCCTCATACTAAGCAAGCATTTAGCGACAGTGGAGAGGAAAACTCCCTTTTAACAGGAAGAAACCTCCAGAGAATCCTGGCTCAGTATAAGCAGCCATCCTCCACGACTCACTGGGGATGGAGAAGACAGAGCACACACACACACACACACACACACACACACGCACGCACGCACGCACGCACGCACACACACACACACAAGTTAAGATGCCTCCTGGCCGCCTCCCTGGTGAGGTTTTCAGGACACGTCCAACCGGAAGGAGACCTAAAGGAAGACCCAGGACACGCTGGAGGGACTATGTCTCTCGGCTGTCCAGGGAACGCCTTGGGACTCCCCCGGAAGAGCTGGCCCAAGTGTCTGGGGTGAGGAAAGTCCGGACTTCTCTGCTTAGGCTGCTGCCCCGACAACCCCACCTCAGATAAGCGGAAGACGATGGATGGCTGGAAGTGAGTGATCACATTTTATCGTGGGAATAAATAATAAACTTTAAACAAAAGCTAAATAGTTTTATGAAAACTCCGTGAATACTTGGGTGTGGAGGTTTTTATGTGCTTCTCTGTGGATCAGATTCATTGTCAGAAAGAATCAGGGTGGATGAGTTGCTGAACTGTTGAATGACTGAACGGGAAGCCTGGTAGTCAGACGCTTTAATCGCAACCAGCTACGTAAGCGCGCTGATGAAAACGGAGGGGAGAGGAAAGGGCCGAGTCAGCGCTCCTGTCGGAACGAGTCCATCCTCCATTTGACTGTTAAATTGTCCACTCAGCACAATAACAGACACACACATCTGAAGTCTGAGCAGGGCAGAAAAAAGCTGCAGAGTGAGACCAGCGTGCTCGTTGCGCACGTGTTTTCTGATGATGTGAGAAGTGATGCTGGGGTTTCCGAGTGTGCATCGGATCAGGATGGGAGATGGGAGCAGCCATGTGCAAACTGTCGGAAAAACTTGGACAGCACGTGAAAAAAAAGTCCGCAGGTAGGATGACGGGATGCGCGGCGTCATGTTGGAATGTGCAGACGGCATCATCACCCTCTTCTTCTGGTCTTTGGCTGTTTGTCGGATTAGTTTGTTTAGTCTTGCGTCATCGTAGAGCTGCTTTCAGCACATCATCCCTTGATCTGTGTAATTAAAATAAACGTTTTTAACGGTTTTGTTTCAGCTCAGCTGTTTTTATTAATGTTTGCATTTAAAAACAATTATTAGAAGCTAGTTTGAAGGCTAGTTGTGCTAATGACAGAGGCGGTTTTACCATTAGGCATAGGTAGGCGGCCGCCTGGGGCCCCCTTGTGTTGGGAGGCCCCTAGCCCTGACCGCCGGCACCCCTCTTTTAATGCCACAATATTCTTATTACCAACCTGTGGCCGCAGACGGGATTGGACATGCTTCTCATTACCATAATTCCTGAACCGTTCAAGATATCATTAAAATTCCAAAATTGCTGAAAAGATTAAAAATGGGGCTTTTCGTGAGCGCAACGAATCACAACACAGATTCAGAGACGTGCTGAGTTTGTCATCCAAAATGCTCCGTTTTATAACTTTTGAATGGCTAATCAGATTCAGAAGATTCCAACGGTTCCTAAAAGTACATAAAAGCAGCTTTCCAACGATCTATAGCATGAAGCAATCATGTTAGGGAACATATCGCTATGAGGGGAAATCCTGCCGTACAGCCTGATTGAAACGGAGCGCAGCGCCGCGGTGAAAGCGGATAACGGAACGGGGAAGCTAATTAGCATAAAAGCCAGCATGAAATTATGGAAATGCCTCAAAGAAAATCAACACGATCTATCAGGTGTCTCAGAAGGCTTATATCTGAAGACAGTGACCACGAAGAAGGACAGATCTCCGGTGAACCAGGATATGAATGATTGTTCCATCTTTATATTTTCTTTTTTTTATCTGAACAACCCTCAACTATTTGCTAATTGTAAGATTCAGCTTCATTCCAGCATTATTTATCTTTTTACAATAAATAATTATTTATGCTAAAACAAAAGTTTTTGGTATAGCAGTGCACGGTGTGCCAGAGAAGCACCCCATGGCGGTGTGAGGTGTGCTCTGCCTGCAGCTGGAGAGAAACTGCTTCAAGGTCTACCATCAAACAAAACCGTCTGAAAGTTTACAAAAATAAAAGGTCTTAAAAACAGCTAAAAATGACACAAAGGTTCAAACTTTGTTAAGAATAGATGCATTTAAGTTCAAAGTTTAAATAGTTTGCCCAGTCATTTTGAAGTTCCTGTTCAGTAATAAATGTAAGAAATTCTAATCCGTTTTTTGCTTTTTTCACTTTTAAGCAGATTTTTTAAAGGCTGTAATAGAAATAAATTCTAAATACAAACCATACACTGAAAGCTGAGGTTGTTCTGAAAAAGGGAGAAGAGTTACACACACTTTGTGCTTTTTATTACAATTTTACAGCCATAAGATTAAAAAAATACCGGGCGGCCCTGTTATAATTATGGTCATAAGAGGGTTATTAAGACTGTGATGCACAAACAGGAAGTGATTGGTAGTCATTCCACTCCAGTCCAGTTGGTGGCGGTAATGCACCAAATTGTTGTTTGCCAAGTGCCATAAGACCACAAATAATAATAAGAGAGGCGGGAGCGTTCGTAACAAACTCAAAGCGATAGTCAAAACATGAAGCATGCCATGAAGTTATCCTAGTGGCTCCAATAAGAGGAAGAAGCAGCTTGCTTCATAAAAGCTTTTATTTTCACTTCTGAAAGTGACGTCGTTTTTCTATGTAAACATCAAAAGGAAGCAGAAAGGAGCTTGGAAAATGTTTCAAAGGGAGGAAAACGGAGACCAAAATGGAAAATAGAAAAAAAAAAAAAACTAAGGCTAAAGCACAGGAGCGCTGACAGGAAGAAGAAAGCACTCAAAGGGAAAGAAAAACAGGAAAAAAGAGGAGGACTAATAAAAAGTGAAAATAACTCGTGTCAGAAGAGGGGAGAGTTTCGCAAATCCAGTTAAAGGTCAGATTGTCGAAAATTTAGTGTAAGGGGCCCCATGTCTGTGTTCGCCTTGGGCCCCCAGATTGCTAAATCCGCCCCTGGCTAATGATGCTGTTTTCTTTGTCATTGGTTCCCAGATTCCACCTTCTGTTTCATATTTGTACTTTTCTTTTCTAAAAATGCAGAAAAAAAACAGAAGGCATTCGTTTAAAATAAAGTAAATCTTCATTTCTGCTTGATGGGATCACAAAATGGATTTGGGGATAGATGCAGGATCGCTGTGAACTTGTTTTGCTGGACGTCCTGTCCCGTTCACTCCAACCTGGAGCTGCCTTTAACTTACAACAGTCACTCATCTATTATGCAAAACAAACAAATAAAACCAGGGAGTCAGTGGTGCGTGTTCTCAGAATCCTCTGCATGACTAACGAGCCTCAGACTCCAGGTCCAGTGCGATTTTTACACCGGATAAGAGCAAAGTCAACAAGCGTCTATCGTGAAAAACAACCTTGCTGGAGGCTAGATTGTTTGCATTCCAGGCTCATCTTGGAGCTAGCAAGCCAAAGTTTAGATCTAGCTTTTGTTTGATTCTATTAGAATAAAAGTCACTCACTGATTATCTGATTTTCACCTTTTTTTCCCGTCAGAATTTGCAAACTAGGACCTCTGAGCCAAGCTGGTGACCTCGCCTGTATACTTCTTGCATATTTGTTGTGTTTGCATATCTGCAAACCTTTTTTTACAACCTCAGATATCACCTTCCTCTAGTATGTTTACCCCATGTAAGCAGCAAATTGATCCCGGGTCATCTGTCTGCAGGCTGCAAGTATGCGTGTCACGCCGCATGTCGGGACAAAGTGTCGCTCGACTGTCATCCTACAGCGTCGCCCATCAGCCAAGATCAGCTGAACAACAACACACCACTCTGTGTGAGTACACACACACACACACACACACACACACACACACACACACACACACACACACACACACACACACACACACACACACACACACACACACACACACACAAGTGTGATGACTTTACATGTCTGCAGCTGTTTGTGCAGATCTGCATGTTTTTGCTTTTATTTGTTTGCATATGAAAATTCTCGGGCTGCGCAGTGGTGCAGTGGTTAGAGCGGTTGCCTTGCAGCGAGAAGGTCCTGGGTTCGATTCCCGGCCTGGGATCTTTCTGCATGGAGTTAGCATGTTCTCCCTGTGCATGCGTGGGTTCTCTCCGGGTACTCCGGCTTCCTCCCACAGTCCAAAAACATGACTGTTAGGTTGATTGGTCTGTCGAAATTGTCCTTAGGTGTGTGTGTGTGTGTGTGTGTGTGTGTGTGTGTGCGCATGATTGTTTTTCCTGTGTCTCTGTGTTGCCCTGCGAAGGACTGGCTCTCTGTCCAGGGTGTACCCTGCCCGGTTGCCCGTTGACTGCTGGAGATAGGCATCAGCCCCCCCCCCCCCCCCCCCCCCCCGCACCCCCACCCCCACCCCGCGACCCTGCGTGGACAGGCGGGTTCAGAAAATGCATGGATGGATGAAAATTCTCTGATTTAATACAATCTGTGTTTAAAGCCTTTCGTCGTCCTTCTAGTTTGAACCATTTGGCTTTCCTTAACTGGGTTCAGTGTCTTCCAAATAAAACTGAACGATCTTAATAGAAAACATTCAGTAATGGTTATCAGTTTGTTTTAGTTAAAGCTGTTTCATTCAGCAAATATCTTATTATTGTAGTTCTGAGGCATCACCAGTAGATGGCGATGTAGGCAAACATTTAGCTTCAACTTTGACCTTTTTAAAGCTGTTTTTGCAGAGTGATGTTGCTACATCTTATTTGTGCATGATGGGATATTTTAGAGTAACGTCTGTTCATTTATAGATGAATAGAGAGATGCTCAGTGCTGCTCTTACCTCACACTTTTAGGAGATATGCAAACATGCATGCATGGAAACCTCATGACTGCGGGACGGGACACAAGGCATGAAGCCGAAGCGTTCATTTATAATTAAAATGGTAAACAGTTTAAGTCATTTTACACAGAAATCAGTTCAACCAATTCAATCAGTCAATTTCTTTTTACTGTTTGTGTCCCGATGGAAATAGTCTTTTTTTTTTTCAAAAAGTATATTTTATTGAATTTTCAGTTTACTGTACACCCTTCACACAGTATTATGTTGTATACTGAAAGTACATTCTGTATACAATCTTAATGGAACAACAGAACAATTCAACAATTTTGGTTGTGCTCCTGGCGATCCTCTCCAACGTAAGTGCATATATAGTATTGAAGGCAATATTCACATAGACATATTTAACAAAACTTTGAGTAAGAAGTCCCCGAATTACACCTTACTTTTGCTTCTCCCATTCCAGTCTGAATGCTGGTCAGAAGACCGATTATTTTCCTACTCTCCCACTTTATAAGTCCTCAGATTTTTATGTCCATCCTCTTAATATATGTTAGAAAAGGTGTCCATATTTCGTCAAATAAATGCTGCTTGGCCTTTAAGATATAGGTAATCCGTTCCAGCGGCATCACCTGTAACATCTGTTTCATCCAGTCCTTCACTGTGGGTCTATGGAGCGATTTCCATGCCATAGCTATACACTTTTTTGCTACCATTAAACTTAAGATCCAAAAAGACACGCTGACACTTGCTATAAGCATACTCATTAGGGCAAAGTCCTATTAAAAACAGTTTAGCATCCAATGGTACCTCCTTTTTGATAATTTTTTCAGTAGAAATTCTTACATCCTCCCGGAACTTTTTGATTTCTGTACACTCCCAAACACAATGACGCAATGTCCCTTTATGAACAGCGCATTTAACACATGTATCTGGTATATTGCTATTGTATTTCTTCAGTCTCTCTGGGGTGACCTGTGTCCGCATTAAATATTTATATATATTTATAAATATTTATTATATATTTATATTAAATATTTGTCATCGTGCCAGGCCTAACGTCAACACTTAGACACACACATGATTGTCTCGTCTGCCGGCCTCACTCTGCTAATGAAACATTAACCAAAAGTGAAGCTTTATTTATTGGTTCTATTAAAAAACTATTTAATTCATAAGAATTTAGAGCAGCTCATTGTGCTCAATAGTCAAGATGATTCAACTCCCAGTGCTGGGAAACAACCCAGATTACGTCAGCAGGTGGCAGTGTTGGGCTGTTTATGGGTGAAATGTACAGCGGCCCAGAAGGTTCAGAGAAATCCAAAAGCCACATCACAATGACAAAACCTACATATTTTTGGACACTTTACTTGTTTCTGGTGCTGTGAAGCTATTTTTTAGCTTTTTTCACTTTTTGAGCATTTGTTATGATGCGTAACCATGGCAACAAGCTGGTTTACAATTGGGAGCAGCTGATTAACATTGGAAAGGCTGAAATAATACCTCAACTGAAGCCACAAATCCCAAATGAGCTAAAACGCAAGAAGCGTGGGTGCAGAGCGGGAGCAAAACGGAGACAGAGAAAGAGGAAATTCAAACCATCTCTTCCATCGATCATAACGGGCAATGTGAGATCACTGGCCAACAAGATGGAGGAACTCCAAGCCCTTTCAAGGACTCAGCCAGAGTTTAGGCAGTTTTGGAACCGCTGGAGGAGATAATGCAGAGAAGGATTCTCCAGAGAATCAAGAAAATGATGGACAACCCTGAGCATTCTCTTCACAAGACTGTCCGACAACGGAAGAGTGTCTTCAGTCAGAGGCTTCTTCAGTTTGGCTGCAACACTGACCGCTACTGGAGATCCTTCCTGCCAACAGCCATTGTCATATACAACAACTCTTTGATGACTTGATTATTATTATTATTCTGAGCTACTACAGCCATCAGTTTCCCTCTGGGATTAATAAAGTACTTTTTAATTTAATTTAGAGGTGTGAAGCTTTGTGCTATCTCCAGCGGTCAACGGGCAGTCAGGCGGGGTACTCCCTGGACAGAGAGCCAGTCCATCGCAGGGCAACACAGAGACACACAGGACATTCAATCACACACACACACACACACACACACACACACACACACACACACACACACACACACACACACACACACACACACACACACACACACACACACACAGACCAATCAACCTAACAGTCAGGTTTTTGGACTGTGGGAGGAAGCCGGAGTACCCGGAGAGAACCCACGCATGCACCAGGAGAACATGCAAACTCCATGCAGAAAGATCCCAGGCTGGGAAGCGAACCCAGGAGCTTATTGCTACAAGGCAACAGCTCTAACCACTGCGCCACTGCGCAGCCCTAAGAATATTGGCTTCTGATTTTAAGTCACCAGAATTATTGATCAAAGTCAGGTTTGATGGCCCGTATGGGGATCGAACACATGACCTTGGCGTTATTAGCACCACGCTCTAACCAGCTGAGCTAACCGGCCATGTTACAGCTTTTGTATTTTGTTGAACCTTCTGGGCCACCGTAGAAATGTAGAAGAATATAAAGTTACTTTTATTTCTTTATAAATTTATAAATTCTTTATAAATCAATTTCCCTCTGGGATTAATGAAGTATTTTTGAATTGAATTGAATATTTTCACTGATTTGTCTTGAATTCCAAACCTTCCATGTTTTCCTCTCAGCTGGTCTCTGGTCCACTTGCTGTGGGTTCGATTCCCACGCTCATAAATAGGGATGCACCGATACGATACTGGTATCGTATGGGTAAAAGTTAACCGATACCAGGAACCGATACCAATGCAGTTGCTTGAAAATGGCTTCACTGTAACTTGTCATTTCTGTTCACCTAATATTTTAGCTTTGTGATGATTTCCATTCATATATTTTACTTAATATATACCTAATAGTCCTTTCCTGTTGAAAGCAGAGAAGAAAATAAAATCTGTATTCCAAATCATTGCATTTTTTTGTGTGTTAGAAGTATCGGTAATCGGTATCGGCGAGTACTCAGATTCAAGTATCGGTTTGGAAAAAAGTGGTATCGTTGCATCCCTACTCATAAACGCTGATGTGGTTTAATTCGTGCAGCAGGAGGATGATGAGCTCACTAACACATCACCACTGTTGCTGAGCGAGGCCTTGTGGGCCCACGATTCATAGAAACGTGTGTGTGTGTGTGTGTGTGTGTGTGTGTGTGTGTGTGTGTGGTTGCAGACAGCTGTGGAAGCTCTACAGTTACAGCATGCCTGTTTGTGAGAGTTAAACTTTGCACACAAACATCTTAACCAGTTTCTATTAGTGGGCCTGTTTAATGCAGACTGTTTGGGGTTTCTAGCTGTTTTTTTTTCATGAAATAAATGTCTAACAAAAAACTGCAGCAATAGAAAAGGAAAAGATTCTCTGAATAAGTCTTATGAACAGAATCACGAAGCACATTTTTAATGCATAAAGCAGCAAATGTCAGTTTGCTCAGATAATTAAAACTACTGATATTAACAGGTTTCTCCAGACAAACATTTTAGATGCGTAATGATGACATCACAAATGAGGACTTTTTGAAATAGCTTGTTTTAGGTAGGGATGTCTCGTTCTGATATCGATATCGGCCCAAAAACACTGTATCGGATTACATCGGACGGCATCAAAAATCTCCGATAGAAGCAATCCGTTAAGGTTCACATTTTTACAACCAGTGTTTGAAAAAAAAAAGTATTTTTTTTTCATACTTATTACTCATACTCTGAGTAATATCACTTGGGAAATGGTAAATGGCCTGTATTTGATATAGCACCTTCTGGAGTCCTGGAACCCCCCAAGGCGCTTTACAAAACAATCAGTCATTCACTGGTGGGGATGAGCTACGATGTAACCACAGCTGCACTGGGACGCACTGACAGAGGCGAGGCTGCTGAGCACTGGCGCCACCGATCACTCCGACCACCACCAGCAGGCAATGTGGGTTAAGTATCTTGCCCAAGGACACA